CTCCCCCCTCCTGGCAACCTTGAAGCTCCATTCCAGAACCTTCCCTGCTCATGCCTTCCATCACACCCTGAGCCATATGGGGCTTTAAAGGTGCCGACTAGCACTTTGAATAGTACCCAGAAGCTAACTGGTAGCTAGTGCAGCTCCAATAGTAATGGGTGTTACATGGGTGCCCATAATAATTAGGGCTACTGCGTGTTGTACCAGCTAAAGCATTTGGTGGTCTTCAGAGGCAGTCTATGTGATGGAAACTGCAGTAATCCAGCTGTGAAGTGATAAGAATATAAGAATATGTGAGTGAAGCTCCTGATATAGGAGAAGCCACAGCTAGTGTACCAGTTATAACTGTGCAAAGCCCTCATGGTCACAGCTTCCATATACTGTTCCAGCAGGCGTTCAGAGCCAAGGAAGATCCCCAAGTTGTGGGCCAGCTACATCTGGGGAAGGACTATCACATCCAGAGAAAGATAGACTATCTTTGGACTCATTCGGCTTCTAAATCCATAGCCGTTGTGTCTTGGTAAGATTCAGTTTAAGCCAGTTTCTCTCGGTTCCAGTTCCCAACAGTCTTCGGATACCACATCGGTACCTCTACCACATCTCTTGCATGCTCTGGGGTAGAACTGTGTAACTGGTATTGGTATATTGATGGTATCTCCCTCTCTGCTGGCATATTGCCTTTCCCAGTGGCTTCATATAGATATTAAACAGTATGGAAGAGAGAACTGAGCCCTATGGCACCTATAATGGAGTAGCTCAGGGCTTAGCTTCTGTCTCCCTGCTCCAGCCACCAATTGGAGCAGTGAACTGGCTGCTCACAAAGGAGGAAGACCACTGAAAACAATGTCTCCCACTCCCAAACCTTGCGCTTTGTCTAGGGGAGCCTTTCTCAACCTTTTGACCCTGGAGGAACTCTTGAAATATTTTTCAGGCCTCAGGGAACCCCTGCACATTCAGGCTCAACTATAGACCAGAAATTGCAAAATTATTATATTTGTTTCATGTGTAGGCCTGTATATATGCATTAACAGTATTCTTAAACCAAAAATAAAGAATGAAACTTACCTCTTTAATGTGAAACCTGTGCTTGTTTTTTGCTGCACAAATATTTCTGGGCTGAGCTTGACTTTTGGAGATCAGTTGTGGGAAATCTTTGGCCTTTGCGGGTTGTGTTTTTTTGGGCTACTTTTAAGGGCATGTACAGTTTTTGAGCAACATATCAAACTGTCATGAATGATAACTGCAAAATGCATCACAGGGACACAGATGATGCCAGCATGCTGAGTCAGGTTGGCTGGCCTCCTCCCCTCTCCCTGCACCGCCATCACCTCTTTCCCCAAATCCAGCTTCTCCTTTCTCACCCTCCTTTTCCACCTCCTGTCCCAAGGACCCCTTTGCAAAACTAGAGAGGGGCTGACACTTTGCAACCTCCAACACCCCTCCCCTTAATATTTGGACTCCTCAACTTCTCCTGAAATCTTGGCACCCTGATGCCAAAGCCTTCACCACCACCACTTTTTCCTTTCCCCTGCCTCCTTCCTCCCCGCTTTTGTGGGTGGCTCCTGCTGCCTCTAGTGCCCGGGCCAGCCCAGCCCCAGATCTCCTGCACCTGCCCTGAGACAGAGCCCCCCAGGCAGAAAGGCAGCCGTACACCTGCAGAAAGACAAAAAGTGCGCTTGCAGAACGGCAAGCGGGTGCCTGCAGAAAGGCAAAAAGTGCTCCTGCAGAACAGCAGGCAGACGCCTGCAGAAAGGCAGAAAGTATGCCTTCAGAAAGGCAGAAAGTGCACCTGTAAAAGGCAAGAGTGCACCTGCAGAAAGGCAGGTGGGTGCCTGCAGAAAGGGCGCCTGCAGAAAGGCAGGCGTGTACTGGCAAGGAGAGCCCCACGACAGTCGGTCTGTCTGTCTCTCTTTCACCACCTGCTGCTCCTCTCTCCTCACTCAGTTCGGCTCACTCCTCACCTCCCCGCCTGCATGCGTGTGTGCAATCCCTGCCCCTGCCTGGGGTCCGTGCATTCTCCGCCAGGCCAACCCAGTGTTTGAGGTCGGAGGATTTTTCTTCGGTCTCTGCTTTTTTTAAATAAATCATGATCTCCCAGGGAACCACTAGTGAGCTCTCATGGAGCCCTAGGGTTCTGCGGGACCCTGGTTGAGAAACCCTGGTATAGAGTACTATATAATACAGCCTCCCAGAGTTCCTTAGGTAGATGGGCAGCTATATAAAATTGTTAAATACATGAATAAATAAATAATAATTGCAAAAGATTCTAATTTATCTTCTGGAATTTAATGTTTATAAATCTTTTTGTAAAAGCCTACTTATATGATTCTCTTGAAATACAGTATTCGATAGAATAAAATTTAAGTATAAAAATATGAATTGAGTGAATTGTAACTATAATAATGGGATTTTGTATGTGTATGTGTAATTAGAAGACTTCATATTGCAGTGTGATAATATATTGAAGTTCAGCGTAGGGGTATGTGTTCTGTCTGAAAAAGTGAGGGAAGAAAACCTCATCCTGTATTATTATTACATCAGAACCTTTATTCTTTTTCCCATTATGTGATGTGTCTTAAGTATCTGCAGAGGAGGGGTAGAAAAGTAATTTGTTTCCTTAATTTGCAATAGATAGCAATAGATGATTACAGACATTGTAGTAAAGGACTGCTATGTATGCCTATTCAGAAATAAATTCCATTAAGCACTATAGGATGTATTCTTAGTTTAGTATTATTTTTGCCAAGTTGTTGTTTTGGAGCAAGGAAATCAAAACAGAATTCTTGCTTCATCAATTCTAGTTGGGTGACTTTGGGCCCGTCACTCTCTCTCTCAGTTCTAGGAAGAAGGTTATGGCCATTTCTGAAAATGCTACCAAGAAAACCTCAGGGACTTGCCCAGCAGTCTCTAAGGTCATTTGAAGCACACAGACACAAAATGGAAAAAAAAAATAATGAACATATGATGATTTGGGTTTCTTTTTCCCATATCTGGTCAATACCATAGCATCTGCACTACAAAGAATTTTAATAGACCTGGAATTCAAAATAGAATTCATCTGTTGGGCTTCATACAAACAGTTCATATTTTTCCATCTTAAATACAAACAAATTGGGAAGACATTATGTATTTATTTATATTTCAAATTTATGTACCCCCCATCTCACAAAAAGTGACTCTGGGCGGTTCACAATAAAACAGCAATAAAAAAAAATACAATAAAACAATATAAAATACAGTAAAAATAGAATAAAACCAAACACATACACAAGTAATATCTTCCAAGATGTTGATGGTCAGTAAGATGTTAACATATGGGAATAGCTTATTTTAAGTGGTGATTGAGAGACGTAGTATATATCTTCTAACTTATGGATATATTTTGATAATAGAAGAAAACAAACATTACTTTGTATATTTCTTGAAATGTATCACTTTGGTCATAGTTTATGGTTTTTATGTTTTGTGTTGTCATTTGGTAGGTATTCTTATCAGACTTGGACTGTAATACATTGGGATCAGTTTTGTCTTGTTTATATAAGATCAAACAGCTTTTCAAAAGGAATTATGGCAGTTTTTAAATTTTATGAATGATGCTGTACTATAGCAGACAAGTATCTGTGTTAGAATTAGTAACACGTATACGTATATGGAAGGAAAATGATACCATTTTATTTTGTTTTAGTTTAGTTTATATGGTGCTCCAATCCAAGTAGGATTCTGAGCAGTTTGCAGTATGATACATGTTGATAAATAACATCAGTGAGAAAGCAAAAAAGCCAAAGCAGTAATGCCTTAATGAACAAACAACAAAATTCAAACCCATAACAGGAGTGCCCCCCTCATCTCTATTCCTGAGGCTCTCTGGAATAGCCAGGTTTTGATGGCTTTCCAAAGAACAAGTAAGATGGGAGCCAGTTGGACAACTTCTTCTGTTTTCCTGTTTGACAGATATTTTTTCCCTCCACAAGCTGTGATCTGCTTGTTTCTGCTATTTCCCTTTTGTTTGCTTAGTTGTCCATTAAAAGTGCATTCAGGTGGGAAATTGACTACTTGTGAGTGGAATATGCTTGTGTTTAAGAATTGGCTATGATTCTGACATTAATTCAGGTGGGAAATTGACTACTTGTGAGTGGAATATGCTTGTGTTTAAGAATTGGCTATGATTCTGACATTAATTCAGGTGGGAAATTGACTACTTGTGAGTGGAATATGCTTGTGTTTAAGAATTGGCTATGATTCTGACATTAATTCAGGTGGGAAATTGACTACTTGTGAGTGGAATATGCTTGTGTTTAAGAATTGGCTATGATTCTGACATTAACATATTAACACGTTAGTTTATATTTTGAGAACAATTATAGATAATTAAATAAAATACTGGAAGTCTTTTTCTTTTTAGAAGGTATGTGGTGCACATTGAAACCCTGCAGCTCTCTATTATTAAGAAAATAAAAGTATATATTTATATTTAGTAAAGATAAAAGTAAATTGCAAATTACTAATTGTAGACTATTTCAAATGTTTTTATATTTTTATTAGCAAGCTAAAAAAGCTCAGTGAAGACAGCTTGACTAAACAGCCTGAAGAAGTATTTGATGTCTTGGAGAAGCTTGGTGAAGGGTATGTACAACTTTGTATATGTAGAGATGTAGAGATGGCTGGGGAAACCTAAAACATGTAGCACGCAAACATAGAGGAGGATAGTGAGCTTGACCTTGGAGCTGAAAAAATCCTCCATGTGTAGACTGGTGCCTACATCCAGCTAGCCTAATGAGACTGTGTTCAGGTAGTCCTCACTTAACTATGCTAATTGGGACTGGAAGCCCCATCGTTAAATGACATAGTTGTAAGTCGAAAAACCGTGTGATCATGCTGCTTTCGACAGTTCTGACCGTCCCAGTTGCTGTAGTTAAGCGAGGATCTCACATGACTGCAACTTCCTGCCAGGGGGAAGGTTGCAAATCTCAATCATGTGACCATGGGATGCTGCAATGGCCATAAGTACAAGAACTGGTCATAAGTACCACTTGTTCAGCGCTGTCGTAAGTTCAAACAGTCACTGAATGCATGGTCATTAAATGAGGACCACCTGTATTATAAAGAAAAACTTACAAATTGTTCATGTATATGTAACAAGCTCAGTGCATGCATTCCCAATATATTAAAAATAATGGGAAAATGTGGTTTTGATTAAAGGAGAAATTCTTTTGTGAGCCTTTTCTGTAGTTTCAAGCTAGGTGTACCTTAGAGGCTCCAAATATATGTTTTGCTTATTAGTAAAGCTGAATGTGTCCCAGTTTAACTTCCATATATATCCTAGGTTAACTAATATTTTCCTAGATTAAGGGTTGTGTAGAATTGTGGGGAACCTACCATGCCAGCTATATTCCCTTGTTCTTAGGATGAGAGCTCTAGAGACATAGAACTTCTAGGACTGCTTTTTCTCTCTCCATTTCAATGTTTGTCTACCTTGCAGCTACCATAGAAGGGAAAGAATGGATGGGGACAGAGAGAAAGATCCGTACTACCAGCTAAATCTGTCTGTTATGGCACCAATCCTAATTGAGCCATTGCAGGGGATTTTTTGTCCAGTATGGACTTGCCAGCTTTCTTTGCAGTGACTAGGAAGACATTGACAATGATTACCAGGATATAAATAATTGTGTACTCACTGTGGTCATTCTTTGCCATGGGGTCAGCCATGTCATGCGAGTAGTCTCCTTTGGTGCTTTCAGAGGGATGGTTCCTGACACTATCAGTCTCAGATAATTTATCCAGCAGCCTTATTTTTCTTCGCAATGCATAATTGTGCCTAAACTGTATTCTAGTGATGCCTCCAAGACTTGTAGTATGTTAGAGCATTCATTGCTGTTTTTGTTCCATGTCTGTATTGTGCTTATTTACAAGGAAATGATAAATGATTTACTTCTTAGTACTATTATTAGTTAAATTACTTCTGTGCTGGAATCATCAATACATACAGTATAATATGTGGGTATACACATCCTCTCATCTGAGGAGGGTGCCTGAATCTACAGAATTTTTCTCTTTTTCCATACTTATACATACACATGTACTATCCAGTATTAATTGTTGTATACCACCCAGAGTTACTTTGTGTGAGATGAGCAGCTATATAAATGTAATAAATAAATACCGGTATTTGAAAAAGAAAAATTTCAGAACCAGAAATCCCTGTTATTAATTAGATAGAAGGCAAGAATATAACATTCTTGTCTTAAAACTTGCAGTTTACTGTTCTCCATGTGTACTCCATTGAGCACTCAAAGAAAAAGCAGAATATAAATGTATTAGATCAATGGCTCTCAAACATTTTGGTCTCAGGACCCACTTACATTCTTAAAAATTCCCCAAAGATCTTTGGTTTATGTGGGTTATATCTATTGATGTGTAGGGAATCCCCAGACCACACTTTGAGAACTCCTGCCTTAGATATATGTTAATTCTGATAAAATAAAAATCATTACAATTAAAATGAAATCTAGTATTGTGCAAGGGGAAATCTGTTTACATGATAGTATTTTTTCCTTCCCATGAAGTTGCCTCCCCCTCAAAATCTGCTTTGGAGGTTGGAAGAATCTCTGGAGCATACATGACAGTAAATGGAGCTGCAGGAAGAGAGGGTATCATATTTTTCTTATCAGCAGAAACATTCAGTTAGTTGTTTCTTCTAGATAAGTTTTAGTTAAGTTCCCAAATGCGTGAAAAATTATTGGACTTCTGCTTTTTTGCAGCCTTTTGGATCCACCTAATTTTTTCCTAATGAATAAAAATAGCTATGTAGAAAACTGCTGCAAAATGCACTTGATATTCTTTATCTGAATATTCTGTCTGACATATTATACGGAAATCTTGATTTAATTTATCCCTATTTATTGGACATCAGCTGCAGTAGACCAAATTCCATCTAGATATCTCCTTGAAATAATGAATAGTTCTATTGCACCTGAAATGGTCCAGATGAGCAGTTACATCTACATTACAGTGGGGCAAAAAAGTATTTAGTCAGCCACCAATTGTGCAAGTTCTCCCACTTAAAAAGATGAGAGAGGCCTGTAATTTTCATCATAAG